AGGGAGAGGGAGAGAGACAGAGAGAGAGAGAGAGAGAGGGAGCGGGGAGAGGGAGACAGAGAGAGAGAGGGATGGAGGGAGCGAGAGAGAGAACGAGGGCGATCTTAACGGTCGACTCTTTTTCGTCCTAGTTGCTCGTGTGTGGAATTTTGAATAAAGAAGCCAGCCCATTTGACCACAAGATAGAACCCTGCACAACGAAGAGCGAAACACCGCATCACATGTGTGCTCAATAACGACTTGAGAAGTTTTGTCAGTGTGTGTGTGTGTGCACTATCCTATCTATCGGCCACGCTTTTCGCCACGACACCGGTGGAAAAAACAATAGGCTGCCGGGTTTCGATGCGAGCAAAGAAAGCAGGAGCAGCAGCAAAAACAGCAATTAACAACGGCCCGGCTTCGTTGCTTGATTGTGGCACAGGTCCTGCAATTCGACTTTCGCCGTTCGTCTTTGGACTACGAGGTTCTGAAGGAGCAGTTGACTGGCTTCCTGAGCTGTTGTCACGAACTCCAGGAGTACGTGCTTTACCTTCGGAGTTTTCCATGTCGGGCTGCCGCTTATTGCTCAACCGAAGCAACATCGGAAACTCGGGATGAAATTCTGAAGGCTGCTGAGGAAGAGTACGACATGATCCGGGAAATCGAGGCCACACCTTCCGGCTCCAGTGTGCTCAAGCAGCATGCTCTGCACACCACGTTTCAGGTGTACCGGGAGATCATGGCAACCATGCAGCTGCACCAGTTCAAGGATTGCAAGGCAATAGAGGACATTGTGCAAGCATGGTACCCTCGTTGGGGCCAGTCATCCAGTTTGGAGCAGGTGTTTCGAGAGCTGGAGCAGGCTACGAAAAGGGTGGGTCATGTGGGAAACTCGATGTCGAACCTCTCCTGTGTGGCTGTGCGGGCTTTGGAAAGAAGGGTTTGCTCCGGCGAACAGTGTCCTGAGACGCCGTCCTTGTGCGAAAAGGACTGGGAGGGCCAGGTGGTACGCAGCCTCAAGGACAAGATGTGGCATCCCACTTCTGCTCCTGTCTGCATCTTGAGTTCGGTTTAGCACGTTTTCATCTGGAGAGGCTTCCTGCTAAGCAGGGGGAGCTTTAGAAATGCAACAGCCAAGGTAAGAACGTGAAAATCGACGAGATCGTAAAGCCTTTTACCACCATGACGGCCTACTCTCAGACGCACCACAACTTCAACTGTGTTTTGGGGTGGAAGGAAGCGAAAAGGCCAGGCTGAAAGTATTACGTATCCCGTATCCTTTTGCTTTTGCACAGCATGAACCGAAACAAGTCTGTTTTCTCAAATCGTCTTTTTGACAGGATTGGCACGAGCCCCATCGATTCGATCGGCGCCATGTGGGTTGCTGGATGCTTCGTGGCGGGAACACTCTTTCGGCAGCACGACACTTTCTTTCTTTGCACCGGCAAAAGCCCAGCAGTCGTGCACGCCACCAAACGATATATTCATCAACACTTTTCCGTTAATGTTTAAGTAGGTCCTCATAAGCATATTATGAAACTCAAGTTTGCATATAATATAGAAGGAATACACAATGTGTTTTAAACCCAAACATGAAAACTCCCGCGAATAAATTGTTGCATGTGCGGACCCACATTCAATGAAACTCCAGCAAACCTCTGCTGAGGTGATCCGTCTGAAAGAGATTTCCTGGCAGTTTGCTGGCAAGCTGCCGCCTGAGAAGCTGGACGAGAGACGGATGCCAAAGATGATGAAAGAATTTAAAGATCCTTTCCAGGAGCAGACAGACAGCACAAAGGCTCTCGTGATGGAGAGTGGGCCGAGACACAGCTGATCATTATGACGTTTCTTTTCTATAAAAGGATTAGGGTTGTGAATTGCTGGGCTAAACTAAGAGCGATGGTAGTTTGGATGTTATGTCTGCATTGCAAGGACAATGTTGCAGCACGTGCTTTGCGGACTTCACGATGCTCCTGTGTCTAAAGCAGACAGAAGAGTAGACTGAAAGTTTAGCTTCGGGTCGGTTTAAGTCTTTCAATAAGAGGTTCCTGTGCCGGGTGTAATATGAGAGTGTATAATAATGTTAGTTAATAATACTGTAGTCATTCGAGGTAGAGATCTTTGAGTACACAGTTCACGTGAGCCCCGCTTCGATGCAGAGCAAGTGTGGTGGGCTCCTCTTTCGCAGAGGGCCCAAAGCATATTCACTGCTGGTACACCTTTTCATCTCAGATACCATCATGGGCATTACTTCGGCTGCCATGTCCGATCTCCTCACCGCCTACGAGTGCCGGATGCCGAAGAACAGCAGCAAGCATGCAAAGATCAGGAAACTGATGACATTGGCCGATGTCAAAGAAGCTCTGGGCGAGCACGGGATCGCGGAAATGGAGGCGAGGCTGCAAGAGATCGAAAAGAATCGTGCATCAAAAAAGAAGGAGAAAGAGCAGGAAACCGAAGATGCTGCAATGCTTGAAGCTGGGCTTAAGAGTAGTTCTGCTTTTGCGACGGCATAGTATAGTCAGACCATCATCTATGATTTATGTTGTCTTTGTTTCAGGATGCGAAGGCCGAAGAGGACGACCCTGCTTTGGCTGCTTGCAACCAGCTCCTCGAGGAGCTGGAGAAGGAGGAAGAGGAAGAGAAAGAGGAAGAGAAAAAAGAAGAAACCGATCCACGGCAGTGTGCAGTTCCGTAATCATTAGGCCTCTTAGTGCTTGGATTTTGTAGGTGCGCAATTAAAGCCGCAAGACTAGAATAGTAACAGGGTTAGTGGTGCAGTGATGCTGATCTGTATACGTGTGCAATTCTTCACAGTAAACAACCGTCCAAAAATAAGGATCAGAAGGAAGAGCCCCGGACAGAGGAAAGCAAGCGGGCTTCGAAGGTTTTGCTCAGCAAGACTGAGACTGTTCCGCGATGGTTGGTGGACAAGTTCCCGATTCCTGACGGCGGATGCATCCACCACACGCAGTTTCGCGACACGTCTTTGCCACTGTTCCAAGCGAAATTGCACCACGGCAAGATCTTCGAAGGGCAGAAACAAAGCTGCAGATTGGAGTTTTTCCTTTTCGTGATTTGTGCTTCGGGTCTCCAGCTCGATTCCGTTAAATAAAAGAACACAGCAGCTCAGGAACAGCATCAGTGCAAGCTACAACCCGACCCTGGACCGGGAACAGCTGAATGAACGCATCACACTTGTGAAGACAATGGCAGCACGGCAACGAAGCATGGCCCAGGCTTACTTTTTCACTTGGAGTTGGCTTTCACGTGCGGTAAAGCCAGCAGAGAAGAAGCGGAAGCGATCGCAGGCATGAAAACGAGAGTGCAGAAGTACACTAAACAAGAACGATCATGCTTGCAGTGGCTTTTGCTGCTTTTCGAAGGGGGATCGAGGACACAGCTTGCGTGTGCGAAAAGAGTCGATGCCCGAAACGGAGACAGCCGAGGCAGCATGCAAACATCTATGGAGCACGACGTATCAGCCAGCATGCGTAGGGTAACCCTTGAAGAAAGCACCAGCTCCTTTTCGGTTTAGGTTCAGGGGGATAACGTTTACCATGTGGGCTTTGTAGTCTGGTAGCAGATCAAGTAACCTCGAACCTTGCTCGGCCTTATCCTCCCCAGAGGCTCCCATCGGTTAACCTTCTGTTCCCCTTCTAATGCTTGGTGGTTCTATGTGCCTCAAGTATCCCCAGAAGTTGTAAGCTAACCTGTGGTCCACCGAGGAAACAGGACTTGTAAGTGGATATGGGAGTTTCAGAAAAATCAGAAAAATTGGGGGAGCTTATTTGGGTATCCTTATAGTAAGGATCCTCCTATTCAGGGTACTATCTTGGGTCCCCCATTTTCGGAAACTCCCATATAGGAGCTTGAGTCATTTGATGTCAATCTTGACGTATCCCGAATAAAAGGACAGTATAAGACCACGCAAGATACTGCACCCCACCATTCATGCCCTGAACCTTGAAAGCGAAACTTCATGGGAGTTTCCGAAATTAGGGGACCTTAATATGGCACCCTTAATAGTAGGATCCATGTTATAAAGACCCCAACATATGGTACCCCTAGCTTTCGGAAACTCCCTCATAGATCCCCTAAAGACCCGATTGAAACAGAGGACCCTCTGAGTTTGGGGGAGCTCGTGGGTTGGGCTTTGCCTGAACCTGTTCTGGGTTCTGGGGTACCAAGCTCTAATGCTTTTGTTGGGATGCGCTCCTTGAAGGAACCCTTATGAGATGCAAGTTTAGATCGTTTTCTTCTTGGTCACTTCTAAGCCCAGTGTTTAGGCCAAGCGGCTGGGTGCACGGCAGGGTTTAGGGTGTTATTTTGGCTTCAGTCAGGGTTTTTTGTGGGCTTCGCAGTTGATTCGAGGCCTGGGCTGGTGGTGACATTTGTCGCGGCGGGGAGGGAGTCATCTGCGACAGCGCGTATTTCCTGTTGGATAACTTCGTTGTGCATTAAATTCATGGGCCCACCATAGTTCGCTGCCCGTGGGGATCAAAATAGCCCAAAAGCCTTATATAGTATGGTCTTTGGGCCCAAAAGCCTTAATCAATATATGAGTCCTTAGATCCCTAGGGTGAGAGGCGAGATGCGCTTCTGCAACTACCAGCTCTCAACTGATGATAAAACGGCTACGAGAGAGTCGAAGGCCAAGCTGCCCCCAAAAGCCCTGACGCTGCCACGGTGGAGAGTGAAAGTACCCAGACCCGCGGGAGGATCTAGAAAGTAGACCCCCTAATTTGGGGCCCTACACTACTAAGGGTACTTTATAGGAACCCCCATTATGGGATCTACTTTTTGGATCCTCCCGGGGGTCTGGGTAACGATGCTTCCAGCGTGAGCTCCTGACAACCGCCAACACCACGAGTTGGAGACATGTTGCGCACCGAACAGAGCTCATGGGGACTCTGGGGACTACGAGAGTTTTGTTTCATTAATCCCGCAGTTCATCAGACTCTCCCATGTAATCTCAAAGTAACCCAAAGCCTTATTAAACATTCGTACACTCCTGCGAGGAAGGCGTCCTGTCCATCCTTATCAGGCACCGTTAGATGTTGATGGGCTCAGGGTCCTGAACGGGTTCTGTAAAGGACTATCTCAGGATTCTGCTTTGTATCTACCATTGGTTCTTGAAAGGGCTTGAAAAAAGGCTCTATAGGGATTTAGGGGTTCAAGGTTTCGGGGTTGAAGCTGCTGTTTCGGTGGACTATGTAAGCGTTCTACAACTCTTCATCGGGTTTCAGCGAGCTTATAACGGGGGTTTGTAAGACCTCTGAACCACCGTTAGAACTTCATGGTTCAAAGGGCTAATGTGGCGGTCGGTTTAGTGATAGGGTACCCCCCCCCCCCCCGACCAAAACTTTTTGGTCTCTTTAATTTGGTACCGGTAGCCCCGGACAGGGGTCAGGGGTCTGAGTGGCAGGGAATTGGGAGGTGCCGGGGTTTGGGGGCTTGGGTGCAGGGTCTGCGGTTCTGCGCGACTGCGCCGTCGGGGGTCGGGGGGGTCTGGGCCAGCGCCTGAAACCCTAAACCCTAACGAATCCTAAACTCCTAAACCCTATAACAAACCCTAAACCCTAAGCCCTAAACCCTTCCAAAGGGGGGTCGGTCCAGATTCGACCCAAAACTAAATTTTTTATGCAAACTTTAGTACTGGAGAGGCCTCTTTTGAGCTAGGGTCCAATCCCCCCCCCACTAATCAAGGTATACTAGAATAGTACAGTAGTAGTACAGTAGTAGTATAATAATAGTGCAGTAGTACAATAGTAATACAACAGTAGTACAGTGGTAGTACAATAGTAGTACAGTAGTAGTACAATAATAGTACAGTAGTACAATAGTAGTACAGTAGTAGTACAGTAGTAGTACGATTATAGTACCGTAGTACAATAATAGTACAGTAGTAGTACAGTAGTAGTACAATAATAGTGCAGTAGTACAATAGTAATACAACAGTAGTACAGTGGTAGTACAATAGTAGTACAGTAGTAGTACGATAATAGTACAGTAGTACAATAGTAGTACAGTAGTAGTACAGTAGTAGTACAATAGTAGTACAGTAGTACACTAGTAGTACAGTAGTAGTACCACAGTAGTACAGTAGTACAGTAGTAATACAGTAATAGTACAGAAATAGTACCAATAAGCAAAGCATAAAGCCAGTGAGCACATTCCCCCAATAAGCAAAGCATAAAGCCAGCGCCTGAAACCCTAAACCCTGAACCCTAAACCTTAACAAACCCTAAACCCTAACGAATCCTAAACTCCTAAACCCTATAACAAACCCTAAACCCTAAGCCCTAAACCCTTCCAAAGGGGGGTCGGTCCAGATTGGACCCAAAACTGAATTTTTTATACAAACTTTAGTACTGGAGAGGCCTCTTTTGAGCTAGGGTCCAATCCCCGATTCGGCGGTTCACCCTAGCAGCCCCCCCCAATAAGCAAGGCATACAGTAGCAGTACAATAGTACAATAGTAGTACAGTAGTAGTACAGACTCCCATTCCTGACGCCCCAATAAGCGAAACAATTCTGCAAGAGATTTTGGGGCTTCAGGGCCAGGGTTTTAGGGTTGGGTGTGGGTTTGGGTGGGGGTTTAGATCGTGGCTGCCTTAAGATTGACCATCAGCAAATAGCACAGCCCCGCCACCAAAAAATCCCCCCAGCCAAAAAAAAACGCATTAATTAGACCACCCCCAAAAAGGGGCGACCGGTCGGAATTAGCACCGGAAAAAACGCATTAAAAGAGCCCATATTCCTAAACCGACCGGCACATTAGGATCCACGGCTTACCAGTTTACTTAGGGGTACTTATAAATATTTTTAGTTTTTGGTCATTATAACCCCTAAGAAACAGCTAAGATTATGATTGTTGCTAGGGTTCTAAGTTCAGTATAGTTTAAGGGGTCAGATACCGAAGAGCCAGAGGATTGAGCCCTCAAGCTTTAAGTATTGTGGGTCTGCAAGTAAGTATGCTATGAACCCCAAACCCTGAACCCCAAACCCTAAACCCTGCGCAAAGAAAACAACACCCCTAACCCCTAAACCTTAAACCCTAAACCCCAACCCCCACTCTGATTGCAGATAACGGGCTTTGCTTAGCCTCTGTACAACAGCTGTCCTAAAGGTTCTGGTTCAAGAGGTCGTCCTGCTAAGGGATGTAGGGTCCAGGGCTTTGGGGATTGTTGTTACGGGACGTTTACATGATCTATCTATATCTATATGTATTATATGTTTGTATATATTTGTATATACTTATGTTGTGTAAACGACGACGGCAAGTTTGGCAACCGCATTGGCAAACATATGCAGCATCATCTAGCCTTGTAGCAGTGGTGACGAAACCAGACGAAGCCTACTGTCAGGCTTCCCAGAACCCATTCGGAGTAGCCCCGCATGCTACCGTGACGTGATTATTTGCAGCGCTAGCGTTGGGAAAGAATCCGAACCTAACCAAGACGAAAAAGAAACCAGGGGGTTTTGTTGTCTCAGTTTTGGTTTGGATGGGAGGAACAAGCTAATCCATGTTAAGGGGATGCCAACGGACCTAGCCATAACCCCATGAGCAGTTCAGGAAACAGGCGACTTTAAAGCCCCGACAACCCACCCTAGTATGAGCAGACTTGCCAATTGAAAGACAAGCCGGATCGAAAGAGGCGGAAATCAAGACGAAGTAGCACAAACGTCCGTAAACCCAAAACCCAAAGCCCTAAAGCGGAAATCCTAATTCCCTACACCATAACCTCTAAACCCAAGCCCAAACCAAGAGCCAAAAGGCCGAGTTCCCTGACCGTAAATCGCAGTATCAGTAAAGAGGTTTAGGACTTATAAGGCTTATAGGGTTTTGGTATGTTCGTGTTTAGGGGATTCGGGTTTAGGGTTAGGCTTAGGGTTCAGGTGTTTGGGCCCACGTTCCAGAGGCCTGAATCATCAGCAAGGTACCCCTTGTAACCCTGATAGAACTAAAGCAAGAGTATTATCGCCCCAATTTTAATTTTGCACGCCTCTACATTGTATGGGCAGTTCTCTAAATCAGGGTCACGTTTTGGGTCACCACAAGAACACGGCACCCTTATTAAAAGGACCCTAAAAAGGGTGCTCTTATTTCGAGAGCCACCCATATGTGCTCGGAGGACGGCGCGGTATTGTCCAACCAACAACGAGGTCTCGAAAAGCCGGACGGCGCTCTTGCAGGCACAGGGCCGTTTTTGCGTCGGGGTTTTTAGGGCTTTGTAGGGTTTAGGATTTAGGGTTTAGATTTTTGTTGTTCGCTCTTATCGGAACCCCGAAACTGACCGTCCGACAGATAGGGTTTCGGGCTTATACGATGTTCTGAAGCTTCAAAGGAGCCCCTATAGGACCCTGATGCAGTCTTTCGAGCCTTAGAGGAAGCCCTAAGCACGCCAAGGGTGGATACGACTTTTCATCGTAAGGATTATCGTGCTGTACGGCCTCTGTTCTAGTTTTGGTTGAGGCCATCCTGCATTTCCTGCTCGTGGCTGGAACTATCCAAGAGTGGCCAGTGCCTGAAGGGATGGAGATCGGGGGAGGTTCGTAAGGGCTGCTTGCAGGGTTCCTTTAAGGCTCTAGCGCTTCGGAGAGTGTCGGAGTGTGGGGCCATGGGGTTTAGGCGCAAGGGGCTCAGAATTCAGAGGCCGAGAGGTTCAGAGTTCAGAGTTTGCGGCTTAGGGTTTTGAGGTTTCTGGTGGCATCGTGGAATCCGGGGTTCACAGTTTCTTGATGTGGCGTTGCGGACGGTGCTGCATAGAAGAATGAGGACGCAAGGAGGGCCAGAACTGAGAACCGTCCGCCTTTAGGGCTTTAGGTTCAGTTAGGCTTTAAGCTTTAGGAATTTAGCGGTTTGTGCTTTAGGTTTAATTAGGCTTTAGGGGTTTAGAGTTTAGGGTTTTCGGTTTAGGGCTTGGGGCTTTAGGTTTAGGGTTCCAGATTTAGCCTTAATTACCCGGTTCCCCGGGCTGGGAGCAAACGACGTTATCGTCGGACGGTATCTCCAATGTTCCTACACTACCCCTAAGGCTCAAGATAGCCCGAAAGCCTTGTATAGTATGGTCTTTGGGCCCAAAAGCCTGAAAATATGAGTCCTTAGAGCCTAAGGGTACCTGTTCTGGTTGAACTGTTAGTTTACAGAAGTGCAGAGCTTTTCGTTGGGAGATCGACGAACGAAAGCTAGCTTACGGCCTGGCGCGCGTAGGAAGACCCAGCAGGACCCTCTCTATTCAACCTCTGGTAACTCCAGTGGTTTCTTTCAAGGTCGGCATCATCAGGGGAAGTCGGCTCTTGCGTGTTGTTTTTGTTCGTGTTTGCTTTATGGGGCATACATTATGGCGGTTTCGTTTATGACAAGGGGATCTCCAACAATATCTTGTGGTTCAAAAGTTCCAGCGGGAACGGAGATAAAGCCTACAATAAAAAGGCTTGGCGGCTTGGCGCAGATTGATATCGCCGCGATGAGAAACAGGCGGTACGTGGACAAACACCTCTCTGTTTTTGATGATAAACTGGTCACAACGGCCTGAGCAGACCGAGCACCGGACCAGTTGGTCAAGTACTGCCTCGCAAATGTGCTGTCCGAGTTCGACATCAACAACTCAGCATTATTCCTTAAATCCACAGCCGACCGTAGACTCATGTGGATGGTTGGGCCTTTCAGGACAAGACGCCCATCAAGGCCGAGAGTGTGGGGAAGGCTTTGATCCCCAGGTATCCGACAGGTGTGATTCAGCCACCGGTGCCGGCAATCAACATCAATTTCTTTGGGCACTCGACCCCCTTTGTCTGTTGTGCACGCGGAGCGATTGTCTTTGCAGTGCCGAATATTATAGTATATTTTCTGGTATATTATTGTATATCTTTTGTATATTATGGTATATTTTGTGTATATTATGGTGTACTATGGTATATGTTTTGCATATTATGTATATTACGGTATACTATGGTCTATTACTGTATGATATGAACAGTGTGGCCATAATGCAATCCTGGATGTTTCCTTCCGAATCTCGGCCCACCCGAAGACCCTAAACTCCTAATTCAGGGTTTTAGGCTACTTTAGGGTTTAGGGTTTAGGGCCTTATGTACCTACCGAGACCCCCAGGAGGATCTAGAAAGTAGATCCTCTAATTTGGGGCCCTCTCCTACTAAGGGTTTTTTATAGGAACCCCCATGAAGGGATCTACTTTTCGGAGCTTCCCGGGGGTCTGGGTAGTAGTTGAGTAGGTAACCTTTAACCTTTTTGGGTAGTATAGTCCCTTTATATATAAGCCCTATATAACCAAAAAGGTTAACCTTTACTTCCTCATGATACCCGACACGTAGGTGTAGAACCCTGATCAAGCTTCAAGAAACAAACCCTGGCCCTACAACCCCAACGTTCTAGCACTCATAGAACGAACCTCAGTAAAAACCCAGGCTTTCATAGCCATGTTCATATATCAGGCCTTGACCCCTAATTAAACTCTAAACCCTCTAAACCCTAAACCCTGGACCTTGGCCTGTTCCACTTTGTAACTCGCAGAGCACCTAGATTTAACCTTGAAGCCTGCCTCTCGCCGAAGCCAGCTCCTCAGGGTCCCTTCGCACATATGTAGACAAACTTTGATTGTACATACATGCACACATACATTCTCTATATATGGGCTGTATGTATGTTTTCTTCATAAACGTATGCATATATGCATGTGTATGTATGTGTATATATATATATATACACACACGTACGTATACCGTATGCCTATGTATACATATGTAGAAATTCTGCAACTTAGTGTACAATCTTAGCATACAAGAAGCTCCCGCTCTCATTATTGTTCCCAACACCAAGGCAACATCAGCTGCGTACAAAGATTGCAACTGTCGCGCTCGTCACCGCACTGCAGTCTGAGGAGACGGGTGTTCCGGGATTGGTTAATGATACGGTAGCAGAGGCTCTTGAGCTTTTGGAGCTGGAATCCATCCCCGGCAAGAGCGAGGAGGTGGAGGCGGCATTCCGGAAGCTGGCCTTGAAATATCACCCGGACAAAGGTGGCGATGGAGAGAGATGGCTCCGGCTACAATTTGCACGTTTCTACGTGCAGGAATGGCTGGCCAAGAGGGAGCAAGCGGCCGAAGATCCTCTTAGCAAGGCCAACGGTCGTGTACCTTGGCTCGGGTGCTTTTGTGATGTATGCTCGCCTTTTGTCATGAAGATGGCCAGCTGCAAAGGCTGCCTGGGGGTTGTCCTCAGGTTCAAAAGCTGAACGCCCTAGCTGTTTAGGGGTTAAGGTGAAGCTTTGGGGATTCAGGGTTTAGGGTCCCCGGATCTTCCCAAATCCATAAATGCAGGAATATACCCTCAAAGGGTATTTGGATCCAATTGCTATGAATAGTTTAAGGTATACTCCCTGCTTAAGTGGTGTTGGAGGATATGGGTTCAGCATATCGATGGATCGCTGTTTGGCTCGCTGAGCAAACTGATGACTCCACCCGTAAACCCAAAGGGTCCAAGTAAGGGCAGAGTAGATCCGGGCCGCTGAGTGTCATCAGCAAAGCTTCCACCTGAAGCTTCCGAAGCTTTCGGATATCATGTGCCCAAGGGGTCCAAGTAAGAGTAGAGTAGCAGAGGAGTACTGTAATGTCTTTAAGAGGAACTACCCTAAAGCCTAAACCTTAAACCCTAGACCCTAAACCCAACGGAACTAACTACCCACATACACTCCAGGACAGCCAAGACCTGCCCATCCCCGACATCTCCATCGAGCGGACCTGGTCCGGGCGATCAGCGCGGATCTTACAAAACTCTTAGATTAGGATTTAGGAGTTTAGGGGTTTAGGGAATAGGGTTTAGGGTGTAGGGAAGGGATTAGTGTTTTTGAGTTTAAGGTTGAGGGTTTAGGGGTTTAGGGTTCAGGCTTTAAGTTGAGAATCGAAAAACCCTTAAAGCAACACCTTAAGGTCAAGGTGTAGAGTTTAGGGTTTAGAGGACCTAAAGCTTTAGAAATCGAGCGGTACCTGGAAACTTAATTGCCTGCTTTTTCCAAGGACGTGCGTAGGGAGATTGTACTACGGATGCCGAAGCAGGTAGGTTTCTTACAGGGCCCAGCTATGCCTTGACAGTATAGAGTGGAGCCGGGAACTCCATGCAAGGTATATCCATCCCTCTGGTATTTATAAGCACTATAACCTTAAACAAAACCTTAACCCTGAAGAACCTACCCTTTTAAGGACTTATATAAGGAAATCATACTAAGGAAGCTAAAAAAGGTAGGTTATTCAGGGTTAAGGTAGAGGAAGCCAGTACATTCCTTGATCAAAGGGTTCTTATGGTTTGTAGGGAAGGGAGACCATGCAAGCCTCCTTTCAGGTGTTGCGGTTGTTAGAGTCGGGTCAGGGTTTTTAGGCGTTAGGTTGTCGTTTGAGGCAAGTTCAAAGTCTTGGGTTTGTGACTTTGGGCAAGCTCAGGGCTTTGGGGTGGTTTGGGTGACGCCCTGAACCCTTCCTCCTAGCCCCTGAAGCTTTAAAACATTGTTATTCCAGAAACTAAAGTCCGAACCTTAAGCCCTAAACCGTAACCCCTTAACCTTGAAACCTTCAGACAAAACCCCGAACCCTAAACCTCTGCAGAACCCGGCTATGCCCCAAATCCCTAGCCGGAGTCCCCTAATCACAGTGGTGATCATCATCGCAGCATCGAATGCTGTGGCATCAATAGCATACTGCAGACCTCTGATGAGTTGGCCTTACTGTTCGCATCCACTTGAAAGACCTCTCCCTAAACCCTAAACCCCAAGCCCCTTTTACCAGAAATATGTTTTTTTTCTATCAAGGCTCTACCCCAAAGGGTCCAAGTACCAATATGGTAGCTACTTAACTGATATCTGGGCCCCCAAAGTTTCTACTGTACTATTACTTGGACCCTTTGGGTACATGAATTCCGAAAGCTTCGGAAGCCTCAGGTGGAGGCTTTGCTGATGACACTCAGCGGCCCGGATCGCCTTCGCCCACGTGGGAAGGCTGGGAAACGTGTTTCAGAGCATAACTTAAAGGCGCCCCGGCAGTGCTTTTATAAACAAGATCTATATGCTTAAAACAGGGGGTTCGTTTTGGCTCTTGGGCAGTTTGTTGTTGTTGGTTTATGGCTTCGTTTTTTTTATGGCCTCTTGTAGGCAACAATCGGACAACACACATGTCATGTGTATGTACGTGTGTGTATTTATGTGTGTTTATGTGTGTATATATATATACACATAAACACATATGCATATGCACATATGTACATGTACATGTGTTGCTTGCCTTCTACGAGGAGTGGAGTTACGAGCAGGAGTTTCCAATGGTTTTTTCTGTTTGTACATTCTTCGACGTGGTGATGGTAGCTTGATATATTTCAATGCTTTGCAGCATGTGTAAGGTGTCTATAAATATATATATATATATATATATATGTTGTTTGTTTACAGGGTTTCAGGGTTTCATAAGGTTGTTATCGGGATCATATGGGGGTGCACTAGGGCTTCTGGACGTGCTCACGGTTCAGGGACGGTTGGCAGTTAAACCCTAAACCCTAAACCCGGTTTGAGGCCTTGTTGAATGCGGTCGGCCCTTCATGCCGAATCAGACCATAACCTTAAGGACGAAATGAACCCTAAAAGGGCCTGAGTCGGCTTGAGGTTAATATACCGTATAGGGATGTAGGGGCCTTAACAGTCAGAATAGAGTTTGGGGGTATTACCCACTACAATTATAAATAAGGAGCCCCCCAAACCCCATTCTAATCATTATGGCGCCTACATTACGGCGGTGAGTTTGTTTGTTTCTCGTGTTGTGTTCTCGTCAGTCTAGTCCCCTGTTCTCTTCATACAGTAACAGCCCAAAGAGAGATGATGGAGTACGACAGGTTTAGGCTTTAGGGCTTGGGGTTTAGGGTTTTTCGGCACTCTATACCCTAAACCCTAAACCTATAGTCCCCTTGCCCCTCCGATTGGCACGGCGAGGTGGCGCTCCGCGTCATCAGCCGCATCGCCGACATCCTCCAGGGAGAAGTTGCACCCCGCCTCGGAGTGGCTCCTCGAGGGCTCCTTAAGTTAAGAGCTCTCGGGGCTCCTAGGTTTTAGAGTTTGGGATATAGGGTTTAGGGTTTAGAGTTTGGGATTTCAGGTTTAGGCTTTAGAGTCTGGGGTTTATAAGGTTTAAGGTTAAGATCTAGGGCTTGGTGTTTCGGGTTTGTGCATTGGGGTTCAGGGGTTGGTGAAGCAGTATGTTCTGTTTCAGCAGCTACAGCAGGGACTGCCACCCAAAATCCCCACTCAAAGATGTCAATGGGGTCTACAATGTGTACCCTAAACCCTAAACCCTTTTTTTTTAATCCCTACTCAATGATGTCAATGGGGTCTACAATGTGCTTTTGCTGGCACTCGTGGTGCTAAGTTCAATAGCAACAGCTTAGATTTCTTAGGTGGTGGGCTTAAAGGGTTTTGGGTTGGGCAGCTTTAGGACTTAGGGGGGCAAGTGAATCACTACGAGTAGTAGCCCTAAAGGCTCTTATTAAACATAATCATACTGCGACAGATCTCGTTCTAGTTCTCAAAACAGTCCAGGATTTGGGGTTTAGGGCTGAGGCGAATCCCTGCATGGACTCTCCAGAACAGTTACGCTCTTGCTTATATAACCCTAAACCCTAAACCCTGAACAACCAAGGTTTTGTGGTCAGGATCTTTCGACGGAATCGAAGGATAAAGAAGAGCTTGAATCCTACCTTTAGGGTTTAGGATTTGCTTGAAGTGTTTAGAGTTATATGTATTCAGTTCTCATCAAAGCATGTCTATAAGGAGCCCTAGAGTGTAATCATAACCGGGGACATAAGTACACAATCGTGGGTTTTTTGGATTCTGAAACCTGGCACATACCCTAAGCACCCTTGACCCTCTGAGTGTGCCGTTCTGTCTTCGTATGGTTAATCGAGGGCATAGAAAAGCTTTACGGGTTCCTTTATGGGGTTCCTTTAATTCCTTCAAGGGTTTGGGAGTTTTAGAGTTCTGCCTGCGTTCCACGAGGAATTACATACAACCCTGAACCAAGCCCCAACTGAAAGTCCCTAAATCCTAGGGTCTACCTTCGGGAGCAGCATGACACCTTAGGGCCTTTGAAGCGTTTGGGGGTGTAGGGCGGTCGGCCGTTAGGCTGGGAGGGCCCGAAGAAGTCACCACCCAGCCGAAAAGCTAAGCAGCCAAGGAGGCTCCAAAACAGGATGAGAGAAGCGGTGAGGTTGACGCCGGGGTCTCAGAAGGTTTCGGGTTCAGGGTTTCGGGGTTGGGGTTTAGGGTTCAGGTGTTGGCTGCCTAGAGCTTATGGCCTAGCTAGGCCGATGGCCTAAGGCTGCGTATGTCATGGGCGTTCTTACGTTTCTAGGGCTGGTATAGATAGGGTTTCTTTAAAGAGTCAGTCCTTCAGGGGAGGTATGGCATCAAGGATTGCGTGCCTAAAGCAAGGGATCCCTCTCCAATCGGCATGCAATCAACCCCAGACTTGTGACCCAGCCAAAGTCCGAAACTCCAAACCCTGACCCCTTAACTTGATGCAGCCAGTGTCATCACACTGTTAAAGTCTGAACTTGAATCCCAAAACCCGAAATCCTAAAGCCGAAAAGCTAGACCTCCAACCCTAAACTTCGAACCCTAAGCCTTAGAAATCCTAAACCCCAGAGGCCCCGAAGCTCTCAACCTTAAACCCTAAACCCTGAACGCGAGAGGCCCAGAAGCTCAAACGCCTACGCTGGCTTCTTGTTAAGGAATGTTATATATAAGTGACCATAATGGGGATCTATGGTAAATAGTATGGTTTCCCTAAATCTATGGTAAATAGTATGGTTTCCTTAGAATATGGTAGCTAATTAAAATTCCTAAACAAGAACCAACCCCGAGGTCGCACCGCCTCCAGACTACTTGACCGAAACCCTCGCGAAAGCCGAAGCGGGACTCTGGCAAGAGGAGAGGTCCTGCTCCTATAGTTTCTTACCCAGAGACTCCAATATCATATTAGGGATCCTACTATAATGTAAGGAATATTCCTTATTTCAGGGATATTGGAGTCTCTGGGTAAATACGTAGCAAAGCTATTTTGGAGGTTCCTGATTATAGTTATAGTACGATGGCCCCCAAACCCTATTCTAACTAGTAAAGCCCCTATGTTAGTGGCTTCAGTGCTAAATTGTAAGTTGTTGGGCTTCAGGGGTTTTGGGTTCCTTTTCGGTACTATCAGGGTTCCTTTATGGGGTCTATAGGGATTTTAGAGGTGTCGGGCTTTCGGTTTATAGGGTTTAGGCTTTATAGGGTTTAGGGTTAAGGGGTTCAGGGCTCATTACAGGGGCCTAAATAATCGCCACTACTATTTGGGGGGTTCCTGAAAGTTATATTATACTGACCTCAGAACCCTATTCTAATAGTCACGGCCCTGACATTAGGGAAATATGCTGGATACCGGCTTTCCTGATTATTGTGTCCATCAATGTGTGTGTGTGTGTATATATATATATGTATTACCATATAGCTAACGCCCCCCCCGAAGAACTACCGAGAGGTGCCGCGATACCGCCACCAATCCTCCTACGTTTAGGCTTCTGGTTTGATTTCGGTAGTCTTTGAAAAGTACAGATCTTGACCTTCCGGAACAGCTGGTTATACAAATTCAGGGTCAGTAGTTCTTGGGGGGTTACCATATATTTATATATACATACATGTATGTATATATATATATATATGTATAATGCACACACAGCTGTTCTTTCAGAATGTATGTTGTTTGGGCTTCATGTTAGGTTTCAAGAGCACGACTTAGCATTTCGGAGTTCAAGTCCATTCCTTCAGGGTGTCAGAATCTGAGCATGCCTGCAGTGTATATAACGCAATCCCCGAAGGTCCAAGTACCGGGTTTTAGGTTTTAGGGGTTTTGGGGTTTAGGGTTCCTCCCAAATATGAAATATGATGAACCTACGGGACTACTATCCGAAACCCAAGCGCCTAATTATTGGGTCCCTTGGACCCTTAGGCAGTGTCCATTGACAACCATTGCAGGACGACATGAAGAGACGACAAGGAGAAATGGCACCTTGGCCAAAGCAATCCCAAACCCTAAACCCACACCGAAATTCACCACCTAATCTCCTAAGCCCAAAACTTGCATCCTTAGATAGGCCCCAAACTACTTTAAAATACCTGAGACCTGAAACACTAAAAGTGACTTAGTTCCTAAACTCCAAAACCCGAGACTGTAAACACCAAGTTCGAAGTCATAGAATTGCTTATGGGAGCTTTACAATATCCCTTCCAGAACCTTTTAAAGAGCCCCGAAACGGACCGTTAACAGAACCCACGAACCTGTTGAAGTACCCTCACGCCCAAGAATCCTTGGAAGAACCCGTATTAAAAGGACCCTTAACGGAACCCAATTTTAATCCTTGAGGGTTCCACAGTTTCGGGAGATCAAACGAGCTTGTCCTTTCCTGCAGCTGCCCAGGGTTTAGAGGTGAGGGTTTAGGCATTCGGGTGGTTCTCCAAGTTATTGCCCCTTTGTAAGTCCCCAAAGTAGTACGGCACCCTTTATTCAAAGTACTAACAGGGACCCTAACTTAGAGACACGACCTGACCAGTTAGGATTTAGGGTTGAAGCCGCCCATGTCTTAGAACAGTGCAAGCATACTGTCAGGATTTAGTTTAGGCTTTAGGGATTTTTCTGCATCCCCAAACCCTATAGATCCCGTAAAGGAGCCCTTAAGGATCCCTTTAAATGGCCCTAAACCCTAAACCCTATAGATCCCTGAAAGGAGCCGCTATAAGGGTCCCTTTAAACGGCCCTAAACCCTAACCCCCTATAGATCCTTCAAAAGGCCCTAAACCCGAAACCCCTAGACCCTAAACCCCTAAACCCTCAGGATCCATTCAAAAGACCCTAAACCCCTAAAAACCCTTAAAACCCCTGAAACGTTGAAGCCCCGAGAGTCCCAGGGAGACGTTGAGCGAGGTCGCCTGGCCGAGAGTTACAAGGGAGACTCTTGTAGGATTGGTTTAGGGGTTTAGGGGTTTAGGGTTTTAGGTTGTTTTAGGGGTTAGGGATTGTTATATAGGGTTTAGGATTTTGAGGAGGGTGATACATTAAAGGGAACCTTGTGTTCCATATTTGGGGTGGGAGAATGTTGTAGGATTCTAGGAGGGTGATACATTCAAGGGATCTTTGTGTTCCATATTTGGGGTGGGAGAATGCTGTGGGATTTTCGGAGTGTGATACATTCAAGCGATCTTTGTGTGCCATAATTAGGGTTTTGTTAAGTTTTGTTAAAGCTTCCGCAATGAAAGGTTCTTTGGGTAGAAGGGTTTAGCGTCCAAGGGACAGTAAATCAGGTACTGCATGGAGTTCAGGACAGTGCGTTTGTATAAGCGCAGTTATCAGCTATCTGGACCTTTAGGGTAGGATGAATAATTACCAAGTAGCGTTGTTCCTGTCGTGTTGTGGGGGTTCCATTTTGAGTTGCAGAACCGGGTGTTGGTGATTCTGGGTTGTCTTTTGCAGAGTCTTTGGGGGGGGGGGGGGGGGGGGGGGGGTGTGCGGCTTAAATGGGGTATTATCGCCAGCTGAAACTGTGGGTTTTCACGCCTATAGTATTTAATATAGACAGGCAGATGGCGATTATATCCTGGGTCTGTTCGGTGGATGGTCCCGGGCCCGAATTAAATAATTTAAATAATTTAAATAATTTAAATCCTGGGGAGGGGGTCTGGGGGGGGTTCCGGGGCCCCGGGACCCTCCCCCAGGATTTAAATTATTTAAATTATTTAAATTATTTAAATTATTTAATTGGGGCCGGGAATTAAATAATTTAAATAATTTAAATAATTTAAATAATTTAAACAATTTAAATAATTTAAATAATTTAAATCCTGGGGAGGGGGTCTGGGGGGGGTTCCGGGGCCCCGGGACCCTCCCCCAGGATTTAAATTATTTAAATTATTTAAACTATTTAAATTATTTAATTGGGGCCGGGAATTAAATAATTTAAATAATTTAAATCCGGGGGCCTCCCCCATATTTAAATTATTTAAATTATTTAATTGGGCCCGGGAATTAAATAATTTAAATAATTTAAATAATTTAAATAATTTAAATCCTGGGGAGGGGGTCTGGGGGGGGTTCCGGGGCCCCGGGACCCTCCCCCAGGATTTAAATTATTTAAATTATTTAAATTATTTAAATTATTTAAATTATTTAATTGGGGCCGGGAATTAAATAATTTAAATAATTTAAATCCGGGGGCCTCCCCCATATTTAAATTATTTAAATTATTTAATTGGGCCGGGAATTAAATAATTTAAATAATTTAAATAATTTAAATTTTAAATAATTAAATTAAATAATTTAAATCCTGGGGGGGGTCTGGGGGGGGTTCCGGGGCCCCGGGACCCTCCCCCAGATGATTTTAAATTATTTTAAATTATTTAAATTTTTTAAATTATTTAATTGGGGCCGGGAATTAAATAATTTAAATAATTTAAATCCGGGGGCCTCCCCCATATTTAAATTATTTAAATTATTTAATTGGGCCCGGGAATTAAATAATTTAAATAATTTAAATAATTTAAATAATTTAAATAATTTAAATCCTGGGGAGGGGGTCTGGGGGGGGTTCCGGGGCCCCGGGACCCTCCCCCAGGATTTAAATTATTTAAATTATTTAAATTATTTAAATTATTTATTTAATTGGGGCCGGGAATTAAATAATTAAATAATTTAAATAATTTAAATAATTTAAATCCTGGGGAGGGGGTCTGGGGGGGGTTCCGGGGCCCCGGGACCCTCCCCCAGGATTTAAATTATTTAAATTATTTAAATTATTTAAATTATTTAATTGGGGCCGGGAATTAAATAACTTAAATAATTTAAATATGGGGGAGGCCCCCATATTTAAATTATTTAATTTAAATAATTTAAATAATTTAAATAATTTAAATAATTTAAATAATTTAAATCCTGGGGAGGGGGTCTGGGGGGGGTTCCGGGGCCCCGGGACCCTCCCCCAGGATTTAAATTATTTAAATTATTTAAATTATTTAATTGGGGCCGGGAATTAAATAATTTAAATAATTTAAATCCGGGGGCCTCCCCCATATTTAAATTATTTAAATTATTTAATTGGGGCCGGGAATTAAATAATTTAAATAATTTAAATTAATTTAAATAATTTAAATCCTGGGGAGGGGGTCTGGGGGGGGTTCCGGGGCCCCGGGACCCTCCCCCAGGATTTAAATTATTTAAATTATTTAAATTATTTAAATTATTTAAATTATTTAATTGGGGCCGGGAATTAAATAATTTAAATAATTTAAATATTTTAAATCCTGGGGGAGGGGGTGTGGGCGGGGTCCGGGGCAGGGAGTTAAATAATTTAAATATGGGGGAACCCCCTGGATTTAAATTAATTAATTCCGGGGGTCCCGGCCCTTTTCCAGGATTTAAATTATTTAAATTACTTAAATGGGGCCGGGAAGTAAAACCCCACCTACCCTCCCTCACCCATCCCTGCCACCCACCGACCCTCAGCGCCCACCCAGCGTCCCAACCCCCACCCCCCCTTTCTCCCACTTCACACTCCCTCCACCTGCTGCCCACCCTACCTCCCAAACACCCTCCCACCACCCTCTCACCCACCACTTCAAGGGCTAGGGATCCCACACATCTGCGGGCAAAATCTGGCGGAAGTGATCCGCCACCGAGCAAAAAGCCTGTAAACCAACAGATGTGCGAAATCCGTGGCCCTTTGTTTAATGCGGATATTTACAGGCTTTTTGCTCGGTGGCGGATCACTTCCGCCAGATTTTGCCCGCAGATGTGTGGGGTCCCTGGCCGTTGTTTTAACGCGGTATTTACAGGCTTTCTGCTCGGTCGCGGCTCGCAGGGATTAGGGGACACCCCTTGCGATTTGTGATTTTGGAACTTATTTGTTATAACAACCTTTAGGGGGAACACCACGACTTGCGATCTGTGATTTTGGGATCTGAGTTCTTACACACCTTCCCTCCACCTCCTGCCCACCCTACCTCCCAAACACCCTCCCACAACCCTCTCACCCACCACTTCAAGGGCTAGGGATCCCACACATCTGCGGGCAAAATCTTGCGGAAGTGATCCGCCACCGAGCAAAAAGCCTGTAAATACCGCATTAAAGACAGGGCCAGGGATTTCGCACATCTGTTGGCAAAATCTGGCGGAAGTGAGCAGTCGGTACTTCCGCCAAAATTTGCCAACAGATGTGCGAAATCCCTGGCCCTTTGTTTAATGCGATATTTACAGGCTTTTGGCTCGGTGGCTGATCACTTCCGCCAGATTTTGCCCGCAGATGTGTGGGATCCCTGGCCGTTGTTTTAACGCGGTATTTACAGGCTTTCTGCTCGGTCGCGGCTCGCAGGGATTAGGGGGACACCCCTTGCGCTCTTCGGTTTTCTGATCTGAGTTTTCACAAGACCTTAGGGGGACACCCCTTGCGATCTGTGATTTTGTGATCTGAGTTCTTACACAACCTTCCCTCCACCTCCTGCCCACCCTACCTCCCAAACACCCTCCCACCACCCTCTCACCCACCACTTCAAGGGCTAGGGATCCCACACATCTGCGGGCAAAATCTGGCGGAAGTGATCCGCCACCGAGCAAAAAGCCTGTCAATACCGCATTAAACAAAGGGCCAGGGATTTCGCACATCTGTTGGCAAAATCTGGCGGAAGTGAGCAGTCGGTACTTCCGCCAGAATTTGCCAACAGATGTGCGAAATCCGTGGCCCTTTGTTTAATGCGGTATTTACAGGCTTTTGGCTCGGTGGCGGATCACTTCCGCCAGATTTTGCCCGCAGATGTGTGGGATCCCTGGCCGTAGTTTTAACGCGGTATTTACAGGCTTTCTGCTCGCAGGGATTAGGAGGACACCCCTTGCGATTTGTGATTTTGGAACTTATTTGTTATAACAACCTTTAGGGGGACACCACTTGCGATCTGTGGTTTTCGGTTCTGAGTTTTCACAAAACCTTAGGGAGACACCCCTTGCGATCTGTGATTTCGGGATCTGAGTTCTTACAAAACCTTGGGGGGGACACCCCTTGCGATTTGTGGCGTTGGAATTCATTTGTTATAAAAAGCTTTAGGGAAACACCCCTTGCGATTTATTGTTTTGGAACTTATTGTTTCAACGAACCCTTAGGGGGATATCCCTTGCGATCTGGGTTTTTGGGATCTGAGTCTGTACAAATCTTGGGGCGACACCCTTGTGAGCTGTGATTTTATCTGTGTTTTTGCAGAACTTCAAGGAAAAAGATTTCTTGCCGACGCAGGGGTAGATGGAGCTCTCTTGTCTTTGGTGAAGTTGAAGGGGCCTGTCTGCTGCGCTGAGATGGACCTCTCTCCCGTCTCATTACATGGGAGGAAGCTCTCAATCATTTCTTGTGGAGGATGAAGTAGAAGACTTTTCTTTTTGGAAGCAAGGGGAGCCCTGGCTTCTCTTGCTAGGAGCGAAGTCTCTTCAATCTTCTTAAGATAAAAGCGACTTACCAAGAGGTAAAGTCTCTATCTGCTCAAATAAAGCTCTCGTCGCTTACCAAAATATCTTGGAGTGAGTTCTCTTCCTGCTTCACAGCAGGGTAAGGTAGAGGGCTTGGGCTTCTCGTTGCGTTTTGAAGGCCACGGGGAGGACTGGCTTTTCTCTTGTCAAAGTTTGAAATTTGGAAAAGCTCTATCCTTCCTTCCTGATCGTAAGCTCTCTTCCAAGTTTTTTTCTCGAGGAGGAGATGTTCAGGAGCTGTCGCTCCTGACGAACAGAGAAAGAAGTTTTCTTCTTATCGCCAGAGAGGCAGTCGGAGCTCCCTTCTTTCTCGTGATGCGTTGTTCTTTTGCCACGAACAACCTTTGGGGACTGTTTTCTTGCTTCGGAGCATGAGGTCTTTTCTTTTGAAGGCTGGCGACTGAGAAAGGTATAAGAAATCTCCT